TTTTCCAGTATCCCCATACAACCCCAATGTTACCCCTATATAATAGTAGTTTCCATTTTCTTTCCCATTCTCCCTATAAAACCTCCATATATTACAGTAACCCTAATTCCTGCAGCCATCCCCCAGAACACTTTGATCGCTTCTATGTTACTCCCCAAACGGTTTTTTGGGGATAATGGAAAAGAAAATGGAAACTACTATGTGACATACGGTTAGTTTGGTGTAATATTGGAGCCCAAATCCGTGTAATTTCCAATTTTCTTTTATGTTAGGTTCTCCTCTATGGGGATCATAAGCCTCTATGATCCGATATCTGGGGTGCCCCTGTAACCCCTTTGAAGGGACCCTAATCCCCATGTGACCCTATCTGCGTATGACGCCTACAAACACGTACTAAACCCCAAACAGTCCCTTCTCGTACTTTGGTAGGTCCACATGCTCCTAAAGTCCAAAATCCTAAACCCTATATACCCAAATTAAATTATGGTAACTTGAATACAAAAGTTCCGCCCCTAATGGTTTTCCCTAAAACTTAAACCCTATATACCCATACTACTCGTACGGTAACTTAAATTAAGTTCCTCAACAGCAACCCAGTATGGTGGGTCCACATGTTCAGTCATTCTCAGGCCCTGGACTCCTTGTTCACAGACCTGGGCACCATGGCATGCGGTTGAGGGTGAAGTGTTGAGGGTTTAGGAGTTATATTTAGGGCTATATAGGGTGGGAGAGGAGTTAGACTGGGGATAATCTAGGGATGATATAGGGCAACGCGGACATGTAGGGATAGTATTCCAACAATAGAGAAGCAATTGAAAAGTAGACTTAATTGGAAAGCGCAGTTATTTACAGCAGGGGGGTTGCTGAAACTATCGATTGCCGTTTCGAGGTTAGAATGCATAGCCCCTGGTTGTGGAAACTCAACGTGCTTGGTGAAGATCCCGATATACCCCATATTCTATCTACTTAAGGGGGACTATATACCCTAAACCCTAAACGCCAAATAGTAGTTTCCATTTTCGTTTCCATTATCCCAAAAAAAACAATAATAGAAGGGGATAGAATATGAAGGTCTCACTGTCCTGCCTGCTCGGGCACCTTGTCCTTATTCACTCTATGGTTTAGGGTTTAAGGCAAAGTTGGTGAGGGGGACTGGATCCCTAAAGTAGTTCCACGATAATCCTCACAATGCTCTCTAGACCATGCGTCCCAGCTAATTATGTAATCCCTGTCTAACCCTATATGACCCCCTAATATTGTAGTTTCCATATCCTTCCCGCATCCCGAAGCATGAAAACTACCGAATAACGCCACCTGCCTCTGAGGATGCCCAGTGTTCCAACCGAGCGCCGGCTGTGGGCCCAAGGGGCTCCCAGGACATCACGTGGTTTAAGGGTTCAAGGCTTAGGGTTTAAAGGTTCATGGCCGCATGGGAAGCCTAAGTGACCTAAGCGGATTATATAGGGATTGCACTGAAAAACTATGGGGGGTCCTCATTCGGGATTCTGCAGGGATTGCCTTGAGAAACTCACAGATTATTGGTACCCCGAATTCATATTCTGATTCAAATCTGGAACATTTTTGGGCGCTTCATGGGCAGTTTTATGTGGGTTGCAAGTACCCCAACATGGTTCTGAGTGACTAGTTGTGACTTAAATTTGCATACTGCTCCGGGGTTACATGTGCCTTAACATAGGTTGTACTGAACTAGTTAGAATCATGGCTGTCCTATATCTAGCGTTTTTCGTGAATGAGATGAGCATCCACCTAGTCTGATGCCTTTTGCGTTATGCTTTCTGCAGGGTGTTCCCTTGCAGGACAGGTCGATGATGGCTTTATCCACATCAACAACAAGACCACATTCAACGAAGCAGAGACGGGTGGCCTCCTGGCATACGATGGAGCTGCCCCTGATACAGCTGGAATTTAGCACCTGATTGGCGCAAGGCGCTGTTCTTGAACGGGGTATCACAATGTTCACTATGAGATCAGCTTTCTGACCTGACCGATGAGCACATATCAGGATGCGCAAAGGCAACTACTCATTGCTGTAGAGAGATTGCTTGTTGCAGAAGCTGGTGCGCATTTCACCCTCAAAGCTCCTGTAGGTTCACCATAAGCCCTTGCCGCCGCATGTGTCTGTGCTCAAGCCACATGACGGGTTGCAAAGAATCATTTAGCATGCGTTAGGCGCCACCCTGAACTTGAAGACGCCTGGCGAGTACCAGCTGCTTGCCAGCATGCAGCATCGGCGCGCAGCGGCACTATTTTCAGATTCTGCTGCCATTGTGGAGCATCAGGTTAACATTACAGGCCTCAGGGTGGTTTGCCCAAAGACCTTTCGGGATTGTCCAACATTCCGACACGAATTCTACTTTCTGGAGGTGCCCGCCAGCTTCATCCTTGACAGGCCTCCTGCCTTCAGCATTGCAGTGACTGACGCAAGGGTGTCCACTCCTGCCTTCTGAGTAATTAGTGGAGGTCAGAGTGATGGCTGTTAATTAACAAAGTGCTGTTTGTTCGAGCAACGAGTTCAACTCATTCTGCTGGCAGGCACGTCTCGCGCTGAGCGTGCTGCTGAGGTGCGTGACTGAGTCCATCGACACGCTAGAGCTACGATCCTGGGTTCGCTTTGATACTAACCGAATAGATTTCACAATTAGATGCCCATGTCTGCTTCAGGCAATGTAAGGATTACGCGCACGATTGTTCACAGCGCAGCTTCGAGGATTGCTTTAAACGCCTATAGTAGTTCAACATGGATGTGGAGTATACTATACCAGAATGTACGAAACAAAGTAGTAGCGGTGATGATGTTGATGTTGCAACCTTTGTGGCACTACCTTTAATGCGATCGACTGAGAACTGCAAAGCCAAAACATCTCACATGTAGCCAGCAATCATGCCACAAAAGTCCTCAGCAAACTGTAGTTGATGTTTTCAAAGGGTTAGTGGACCAAGCAATGGCATCAGTTTTCAGAGTTCAGAATTCTGCCACAAACTCCAGAGCCCGTAGGCAAGGGTCAACCAAGCATGTGAGAAGTTTCATGGTTCACAAGTTTAGATTCCGATTCAAGACTCCTCCTTCGTTCTTAGCTTCATATGGGCAATCCTACATTGTAAGCCTTGAACCCTGAACTCTTGATCGACTGGCCCTGCCCATGGCAGTTTCTCAAAAGAAAGCTCTACAGACAGCAGCGCGTTATACACCCAATATGCCCCAGATTCCCGCAGCAACCCTAAACCCTAAACTCTTTTTCTTGGGTTTTCCAGAATCCCTAAACCCTAAACCCTAAAACCCCAAACCCTAAACCCTTACCTACATCTTCAGTGCAGATGGCTGCAGCAGCTGCTGCTGTGGCAGCGCACCGGGGGTCTGACGAAGAGCCTCTCCCAGCCTCGGCCTCAGTCTTAATGGCACTTGACGGAAGAACGCTACAGGGATATGTGGGGGTTTCCCTAAATAGGGGGACCCCAATATAGACCCAAAAATAGTATAATCCTCATTATAGGGACCGCCAGTAAGGTACCCCTAATTTTGGGAAACCCCCATATATAGAGGAATCTACGGATATCGGAATATCTCGGAACATATGGCTACATTTGAGGGGATATAGGGATTCGTAGACCTGAGGGCTGGCTTTGACTTTGACGCTTCAGCGGGACTGGAGAGTGAATAAAGGTTTTCTGATAGGGGTTATATGGGCCCCATTATAATACGGGGCCTAATACGGGGCCTAATTTAGGGGACCCAAAAAGGGACCATAATTTTGACAATCCCCCATATAGAGATCCTATAAGTAGCATTCGACTATGACAGGGTTCTGGTATCGGGTTTTAGAACTACCGAAAGCCTCTTTTCACATCATTAAGAAACCCGACATTCTCCCCATGAACCACGGGTTCATTTCAGTGTTTGTCTTCTTTTCCATTTGGTTCTCCACGTTTGCGGCAACACACACAGATGCCAAGCCTTTTATTGCCTTACACGCCCCCTATCTAATCCCCATCAGCTAGCTTAAGAGGTCCCCAGATGCCTTGGCAGAACCCTACAACCCCCTAAGCCCTATATAGCCCCATATGATCCTTATGCTACCCGCCTAAACCCCATACCCTAAACCCTAAAGCCCGTAAGTTCCTTAGGAACGAGCCAGCCTCCAAATTCTGCTTCTTTGCAGTGGCAGCTGAGGTACACCTTGCGCTGATTGGCTCCCTGGTTGCAAGTTACAGTTAGGGTTTTGGGTACTATAGTATATTGGGGTTATATTAGGGATTATATTAGGGATTATATAGGGATAATGGAAAAGAAAATGGAAACTACTATAGTATATTGGGGTTATATAGGGGAATGGAAAACCAAATGGGAAACTGCTACAGAACATTGCTTAGGGTTCGGGCCGAAAAGCTTAAACCCTACACTCTACAGCCTAAATAGGAAATTGCAGGAAGATAAGGCTTGCCATGGCCTCACCACTTACCCTAAACCCTAAACCCCTAAACCCTAAACCCTAAACTTACCACAAAGCAACAAGTTTCTGAGGTGGTACTCATGAGAGGCAGACCTCCGCGAGGAGGCAGGGAGGTGATTTCAACAAGTAATAGGTTATATTGGGATAGTGGAAAAGAAAATGGAAACTACAGGGATTGCAGGGGTTATATAGGGATTATAGGGTATATTCTGGGTTATATTGGGATAATGGAAAAGAAAATGGAAACTACAGGGATTGTAGGGGTTATATAGGGATTATAGGGCATATTCTGGGTTCTATTGGGATAGTGGAAAAGAAAATGGAAACTACTATATTATGTTGGGGTTATGAATAGGAAAGGGAAAATGATAACAATAGTTACAGTAATATGCGGCCCAACACTGCTTCAGCGCTGAGGGCTAGATTGGACTGTATGGTTGTGTAGAGGGATGGGATGCGGTGCAGCATGTTCTTTCTTAAATGGAGATCGGGGGCTCGACATTGACATTACAAGCAAAAATCTACGTACTTGAGGAGTTCCAGAAACAGGGGGTCCCGTTATAGACCCAAAGTCATTCTAATCCTTAGCATAGGAGGCCGCCCAACAAATTGAAAGCCACTAACTATATAGTAGTTTCCATTTCCTTTTCCATTATCCCAATATAACCCAGAATATACCCTATAATCCCTATATAACCCCTACAATCCCTGTAGTTTCCATAAAACTGTTTAACATAGCAACCCCAGGCTAAACATGCCGGAACAGAATCGGGGTCATAGTCTAGGAATGGCACCGAGCTCTTTGGAGGACCAACATGGCACATTCAAGCGAGATTTAGGGTTTAGGGGTTTAGGGTTTAGGGTTAATTACCCCCCCATAATGGAGAATCAAATGGAAAACATGTGGAAGATGCAAGGGAAACCAGGTAAATCTAGAGGTCTACTGGAACTAGGGTTTCTAGCAACTCTGGGTTCCCTTTTTGAGGGTCCCCACCATGAGGATTACAGCTTTTGGGGGTCCCTGTCTGGAATCAACTACAAAGTCTCTTGACTTGTCATTGTAACAGCGCAATCTGAGCAATCTGCTGTCAACACGACAATTGTACAGCTCGAGCTAGTCGCAGTAAAAGCAGCTGCTCTGAATCCTTGTAGCGCAACGTATGAATCCCACTGTGGCAGAGGCAGTGCTTTGTAGCCTTGTTTTCAAAAGGTGCCATGTCTGCCAGCAGTTTTGTTGTTACCACCTCTCAAGCAGGCAGGCTTTGCACCAGACAATCCAGGTGATGATAGTATCTCCGTCATATCTCTGACACTTTCACTGTTGATCTCTCAATTTCTCATCCTGCGAGAAGATTGTGTTGGCAGGGCATCGTACCACGCCGAGGCGCGGGAACATGTTGACAACTTGTAACTTGTAGCTGTACTATATTGTTTTCCTGGAATATCGCTATACATACATGCTTCCTTTCAAGCCGCTGTGGTTTGGACTTGACGCCTTTGGTTTTTGATTTCCGGGGTCGAGGGTGTTGTGGACGGATTCCAGACGTTGGCCGAACAGGGTGCGCAGTAGGAGTTACAGCCGAAAATGCTCAAATGGTTCGATACTGTTCTGAGGTCCCTTCCTCACAATACAGTGTCATAGTGTCACATAGCAAAACATGTTCTTTCCCCTACAACGCCTGCCTTGAATGCTCTCAGAGTCCTTGATGGACGGTTTGTGGGGAGGTTCCTGGGCTCAAGGCTCAGCATATAATATTTGTGATTTAGGGAGTAGGGTGTGGGATTTTGGGTTATGGCGCCAGAAGGAACTGCTCTGATCTATCAGGTTTGTGCATGATGCAGGTGTAGCCCTTCTAGCGCACAACCCTCACCTGGATTCTTTCTCATCATGTAGAGGCCTGAATCACTAATAGTGTTATCCCTTCCATTGCTAGAGGGTAGGGGGCATGAGAGAATATATCATACAGAGATTATGTAAGGATTACATTACCGTATTCCCTACTAACCACCAGTGAGTCTAATCCTTTGTCATCGTTACACGATATATGTTCTGCGCGTAGAGCCGAACAGTTGACAGGCGCACGTAAAATCACATACTTTCTGTTCACCCTCGACGCTCAGACTTCAGCCCAAACTACCTTACCATTCTTACTTCCATAACCGTTTTTGTTATCATTACTACCATTATGTGTACTATTTTCATTCTTACTACTATTACTATTGCTACTGCTACTGCTATCGATTTAAAGCTCCTACATGAGGCCCCTTAAGTTCCAGAATTTTGGAATCTGGAGAACATATTCGGGGTTGCCTTTACCATAAGAAGGATATATAGAAAGTAATAGGGTATCTTACTGCCGCAACTTAGCATAAGTTTAAGTTCTTTAGCAGCAGTCCAGTATGCCAAAGAGATTCTTCAAAAGGCAAACAAGTCGCAATTCGCAAGAGCGGCTACGACCGAAACCCAGTACCCCATCAGCCCCAACACACCCTGGATCCCAAACCTTAAGCCCCAAACCGTAAATCTAAAACCCCTAGACTCAGACCGAAAAGTTTGACAAACCCATAAATCCACGTATACCGCTACATATCCCTATCTACCCCCCTATGTACACCCATATATACTAAACCCTGAATCCTAAATCCTAAGCCTAAGCCCTAAGTTCCCTAAGCCCTAGACCCCTAAACATGCATATCCCTCTCTACCCGTATATGAGCCATAGTCTAAACTCCTTAAAGGGCTTTATGTAGGGGATGATATAGGGGAATATTATAGGGGCTATTAAGGAGGATACTAGGAGTTTAGACTATGGCTCATATACACCTAGATATCCCTAAGTTTCTAAACATGCAGGTTGAAGAGATGAGACGAGGAAAAGCCTTGGCCATCATGCGCGACTGGGCGAGTCGACACGGCCAGCTGGTGCCTTTGGGGCTCTCAGGTTATAGTCCACCTTAAGTAGATAGAGTATGGGGTATATGGAGATTGCATTATAATATACTCAAAGCCATATTCTATCTACTTAAGGGGGGCTATAGGGGTATGGGGATAATGGAAAGAACATGGAAACTACTATGATGTGGTTATATAGGGTTTAGGGTTTAGAGTTTAGGGTCGTATGGTGAGCTTGAAGGGGTTAGGCTTAATAGGGAGATAGGGAGTACACAGAGGTATATGGTCTATAGTGATATGTCGAGGTATACAGGGATAGACAGTGATACATAGCGTTTAGGCTTTCTTAAATGGGGAGTTGCGCGGACAGTGGGGTAATGCAGGGATCATATGAGGATTAGGAGGTCCCCTGAGCGGATAGATGAAGATTGTTTAGAGAAACCTACAAAAAGCTATCATTAAGTGCCCTGTGCATGTGGATCTCAGAAATTCTTAAGGCCTGCATGATGCTCCTGTATTCTAATGTGGACATATTATGCAAAGGTATGTCTAAAAACGGTGTCAAACTTGTGCCCTAAACCCTAAACTGGGACAATAAGAATTAGCAACAATAATAATAGTAATAACAATAACAACAGAAATGACAACTACCAATAATCGCAACAATAACAATAATAGCAAGGGTCTTCCGCATCTGGGCCAGGTGCCACGTGCCGGCGAACGCCTGAGCTCGCAAGGGACTGTTGAGGAGTCCTAGGACGGTCCGTCCTCAAATCATGGGTTACCCTACCTCCGCCCATTACTGCTGGGGAATCTAACGGGGCTTGTATAGAGGGGCGTTGGTAGAGGAACCCATGGTATACGGGCTGATAGTATTTGATAGAGCATTGTTTAAAAAGGATAACTAACAACGGCGTATAAGGCGTGGGGTTGTGATTTTTCTATATAGGAGAGGGATGTATGACATGAGACTTTCAGGAGTAGGGACAGCAACCATCGCAAGTAAATGCCTTCAGTGCGAGCACACCACGGCCCACCTGTTGCAAGCTTTGTGCCCATCGCGCAGAACTGCAGATGCATGAGTTTTCCGCCAAGCGTGAAGGCTTGCCCTGTGAAGCTTGGTGACACGTACCCAGCCAGAGCTTGCCGCTAGCAGATGCCAGAGCTGACAAAAGGAAACGTGCGCTGTGTACTTGTCATGGGGACCCTTGTCTTTGCTGATGCTCTCGTGCTCCAAAATCTGCTTTTGAAGGTTTAGAAGTATTTTTGTAGGAGATAACTCTGGCCGCAGCTCAATCTGCAGAGTCCTTTGACGACAGAAAATTTTGAATCGACGTTGCACTTAGGCCTATTTAGAGCCTAGCCACATTTGAAATTGGGTTCTTGTGATGTTAGAAGTCCATGTCATGAACGCAGGCTGAGCGACGGTCGCTCCTGCAACAGCACCCAGACGCCAGAAAGGCCAGGGTCAGGGTAACCGGAGCAATAGGGATAGTGGAAAAGAACATGGAAATGACTACAGTATAGTATATTAAGGTTATATAGGCATAATGGAAAAGAAAATGGAAACGACTACAGTATAGTATATTAAGGTTATATAGGGATAATGGAAAAGAAAATGGAAACTGCTATAGTACACTTGATTTCTAAGTACCTGGATTATGACACCAGCTTTTGCACTGATGCCGCCACTTGCACTGCAATCCACTGAAAGTCTAAGAAATATTAAGTAGTATTTGTTGTGTGATTCAAAATGGTAGTTGTAAAGGTGGTGCCGCTGGTGCTGGTGATGAAATTCTCATAGTGGAATACATAACGTCGAGTTGCAGCAATGGCATGCTTTGAGAGATAGACCGCCAACTGTTTCCCAGAGGGTGCTTGCCTTCATGCATGTGCTGAAGGAGTGCTTACTGTCAGCATTTTGTAAGTCGAGAAAGTAGTGGTGTCTAGGGGGTCATTACGTAGATCCCTTTTTTCTGAATCTATCTTTTGGATTCCTCTCAGTTTTGGAGCTCACAACTTACCTGCCGCAGGTTGCAGTGGTGCTGTTCGGAAGCCCGCCCACAGACTTTCGAGACTGGGTGAAGCAAAGGCACACACCCTGCACTTGACATTGGCGGGTTGAATATGGCAGTCTCCCAAAATAAGCGGACCCCAATAAAGGCCCCAAAATACTACAGTCCTTATCATTCGGACCCTCGAAAAGGTACCCCTAATTTTGAGAAACTCTATATGAGTGCAGTATCCACCAAACCTTCAACCGTTCTGCAGATGGAAGGCCAGGTCTCCCACCCAATGGCGTTTGCATGGGATGCTCTCTGATGCTGCCTGTTTCAGCATACCGATTGCACAACATTGCCAGCATTTGTGCAAAACAGATCTGCGATGGCAGGCCCGTTCAAGGAGCCAAAGACGAGGAGACTGCAATCATCGAGATATCGGTGCGAAAAGATTGCATAAGCATTAGCAATTTGGTTCGGGGCCGATGTCACAGATGCAACAGTAAGAGATGTTGCTGCTGCTGACGTGTTAGAGATGGTTGAGTTGTGGGCCGAGCATTTTCGCGCATGTGCTGGGTACGTTGGGTACGTTGGCAGGCATGCTATAGAAAGTCCCTGTATCTGCAGAGAGGCTTTTATAAGTCCCATGGACATCCACAGTCTAAGTTGCGGATATCCATGCAACTCCGTGGTTTTCACGCACCACAGAAGCCTTTTTAGGTTGCGGACCTAGCGAGCGGTTGTCCCTAGGCCCTAGGCCAAATCTCGGAGAAAGACCATTTGCGGAGTGACCATAAAGAACGCTGTGGGTGATCATTCAGAAGTCTCTTCGTGGCAAGCTGGTCGCTACGTTCGTATTGTGGTTAGCTGGTTCAGCTGTTCGATGCTGTACAAGCTGGGGTGTAACCCCGAAAGCTACCAGACATTTTACTGCCATGCAGGATGTAGAGCAGCTGGAGCCGTCGGATGAGGCTTCCGAAAGCAACATCCTGCATTTCACTCGGCGAGACTGGGTTCCCACGACAAGTTTGATGATAATCTCGGTTGGGTTCCAGTGTACATCACAAGAAGCAGATTGTATTTGGTCTTGCCAAATATTTGTTTGCTGGTGACAGCATGGACATGTCAGCGAACACGCGTGCAGGATGCCTGGGATGCCGAGTACCTTATATCTAAGGTCTCGTGTGTATCTTCTATAAGTATCTGACTTTTTTCTGCCGCCTAGTACGACCTCTGTATGCTTCCATACACTTCCCCTTTGCCTCACGGGGGATGATTCTAGAAGTAGCCACGGTGGATACTGTCAGTGGGATCCCTGAGGACCTCGGAGGACGCGTGAGGCCCTTTTGTTAGTTCAAGCGGTGAGAGCTTTAGGAACCACAGCGCCCTGATGACAAATGTCCTCCAAAACAACCGCATTTTGTGAATTGTCTACCTGGCACAGCGCGGGCACCATGCCACTGCATGCCCACGCATGCCTGGGCCTAGACTGGTTTCTAGGATTAAAAAACCAGCACGAATATCACGAACACCATTTTCTGGAGCTTGCATAGGGGACAGTGATAGCTAATTGAGATTCCTGAATCGCCACCTAATAAAAACAGAATTGTCCAGGTTCCAACAGGAAACCAAAAGCTCAAAAGGACCCCCCGGCCCTTCCTTCAAAATCTGCGCATACACCACAAAATGAGACTATCCCGCCTATAGGGAAGGCTTCGCTGTCCTGTTTTGGATCATTGGAGGTACGCGACGTTGCAGACAAGCTGCGCCCTCAGGACGTTTCATTGAGACTTCATGGGCCGCTTGCTGTGCAAACATAGTGTGATGATTTAGAGATCTCAGATGGGTTTCTCGTGACAGGGCTTGCGGTCAATGTAAGGCTCATGGGAGTTTCTGGTGGCTTACACAATCTTTAAGATGCCTCTAAACTTTAACCTAATTTGCTGATCTCCCATGATCCCTTAGAGTACTTTTATTACACAGCTGTCCAGCGGGCACTGTAACCCTTTGTCATTTTGAGCTAACAATGTAAACCAAGACTAACATGGAAAAGCCCTAGATACTTACCCTTGACATGGCCACATAGAGTTTTGGAGCCTTGAATTGCACAGAAACCTGAAAGACTTCCTTCCAACTTCTGCATGGCTGAACTCAAGCATGGCCCTAACCCAGATCGGACATCATCAGCCATCTTGCGGCTTTGAGCGCGTCGCGAGGTCAACAGTTGGAGCATCGGCTGTAAGATGACATTAATGGGATTGTATTCAAATTCAAATCAGACTGCGCAGCTCTTTAGGTCAAGTCTGTCGAACATTTATTTGTATCGCCTGCATTTATCTGTATCGCCTGCAGGGTCCCAATCAATTAGGCATTCGCAAGATTGGTAGCGATTTCAGATGTTTCGATACGTGCTTCTCCGCCATGTGACTGAATGCCACCAGATCTAAAGCGATTGGTGCCGCGAAAGAAGCTTGCCGGCGCAAAGACGAAAACAAGGACTGCCAATGAAGCAGACCTTCCGGCTGCAGATGTGATCAAAGAAGTAGTGGTACATGGATTCCAGGTTGAGGCAGGTTGTCCTTCCGACGGTGGTCCTGAAGCTCAGCCCAGTGTCGAAGATCTGGAAGGGAAAGCCCCTCTTTGGAAGATTCCCCAGGTTTACAAACCTGATCGTCTGCAAGATCCTGCCAGTCACGATGCTGAACCGATTGAGAATGCAAGGCCTTCAGTAAAGGAGCCCGTTGATCCGACTCGCGATGAGCTTGAACGATTACAGATCGAGACCATAGTGGGGCTTGTTGACAACTTCGAAGCTGAAGTTGGTGGTGTGCACTTGTCAAGGAAACTTCTTTTCCTGTCTAACAAGCAAGCTAGCATGCTCCCTTTAGACAACATCGACAAGGTGATGTCTGGCTTAAATTTTTACCCACGGCCGAAGCTTGTCATTCAACTCTGGCCGTCTGCCGCTTACGGGAACAAGCAATACTCCACGTCAAGCCTGTTGGTTGAGCACCACTGGACGGACTGCAAGCTCAAGGACCAGGATGTGAATACGCAGTTTTACTTTGTTGCCGAGGAAGACGGATTAAATGGAGTGCGAGACACGGAATGTAAGATTCAAGTCTTCCTGAAGGAGTGCCTGATGCCATTAGCCAGACAGCATTGCGCTCTGGTCATTCTGAATGAAACGCGATGCAGCCTGTCCTCAGTATTTGGAAAACTTTGTGCAGCAGAGGCTGAAAGGCGCAGAGGCAATTTGGGGTTTTATGTCTTGGCGTTTATTCAGGCCCCGCAGGTGCTGCTTTCCAGCCAGAGGTCGGGCACCAATTCGTACAGGTTACGCCAGGCTTCCACGAATTGGAAGAAGGCAGAAGAGAGAATGTGGTACGTAATGCGAAAAGTTTGCGGTCCCGAAGCAGCCAGCTACAACCACTACCTCGACGCTCCGGGAGGCTGCACACATTACATTGTGGTGGATTGCATCACAGAGGATGATTTTGGGTTGCAGCGCGATTGGTCTCCCCTCGAGGTTTTGAGGTCACGTTTGATTCAAGCAATGATGGGGAACCAGACGCCAGGCTTCGCCGTGAGCACCTTGCAAAACTTCTGGGGCTTGTCAAGCATGAAAGCTTTAGCTGATTTGGTCGCAAGACGTGTGCCTCTGCTGGTGTTGGATTCCAGAGACCCTCCTGAAAGCAAAATCCAGAGCGCAAGTTCTGCCATACAGCATTTGGAAGAGTTGGAGGAGCGGCTAAAC